TCTACGACAATTCTGTGTTGGATGCAGTACTTTGGGACATCTTGTATTATTCCCTACTGCATTGTACACAACATCAATATCTCACTTGTATAGGGTCATTCCCTTTTTGTGTGGATGTAGATTGTCCGACAGACTTGCGTCCGGCATACTTGCGTCAAATCCCGACATCACGATCAAAGTCCGATCGTACGTGTCGAAAACTTTGTACTTGAATAGTTTCTTTTTAAAAACTAATATTTTGTCATATCCCAACAGCAAGTCCCCATAACTACATCGAGGCTATCCTTTGTCAATGCCCAGGAATCAAGAAAAACCTCGCATGCGTACCCCGTCAAATGGCCCAGTGCATAGGTGCCCGCCAGAAACAAGGCAAAATGGTTAAAGTGATGGCCGAGCACTTAGAAGATGCTTTCAAGCTCCAGGAGTCTTGCGGGGCCGATGCAATTTGTCGCAACATTCAATACACCGGTTAGTTTTGGAGTTATTGCTTCAACTACTGTAGACGCCCATTATACCAATCTCATATCTTTATATTCTTCTCGTTCAACAGATGCTAATGAAAAGGAAATAGCTTGATGTTCAGTGGGATGGAGCAGGAAGTCAAGGCCGTGATTGAAGAGAGGGGTGCAATCCTAAACGCAATGGAAACGAATAGCAACAAGAGATCTGCTTCTGGCTAAACTGGAAATGATGAAAAGATATGGAAGACAAACGAGCACAAGGACTATTATAATGGTAGGCTCTAGCAACTGTAGCTTTAACCAGTAGATCACCCGGTTTTGAATCTGTGGTACGAGGTAACTCTTGAATATGCATAGCTAGTATGCAACGAAACTTTGAATAAATAAATAAATCTAAATAGTAATTTACTTTTTAGGCATCTCTACAACTGGCTTCTTGTAAACACGTGTAGCTGTATTACTGTGGCAACTACTCCTCGTTTTTGAAAAGGGCCTCCATGCAGGTGTTGATGTCCTCGTCCTTGCTTCGAGAATCAGCAATCTTGAAACATCCATCTTTTTTGGCAATTTCCCATTCAATCCAGAGAGTGTTGAATTCAAAGGTTCCAACTTTTTCACCAAAAACAAAACTGTTGGACTTGATCTCGTGGTGGTCACAAGACTTGAACTATTTTAAAATATTTGATATTGCAGGCCTCACTTGAAAAGGCAACACTGCGGCTCATTTTGATTGATTTGTTTCACGTCATGCTTGTGCGCAAGCCGAGAATTCTCTCTACTTTTTTAGTTCTGTGTAAATTTTGTCGTAAATTTTGTTCTAACAGGACCGTGTGGCAAAAACGTGTATTTCATCATCGAAATTTCGTGTTTCCGCGCAGAAAGACAAGCGTTTTATGACATCCTCGCCAGCCAAGTGAAGATGATGCCTTCCACTTTGATCCTCCCAGACCTCGCTCCTGTCGCCACAACTCTTCCAGACATCGTTCCAATTGCCATATCCCTTCCTCGAATCCAAGTGACGACATCTTCTGCCATTTCAATACATTTCCAAGAACGGATCGCATGCGCAGACAAAGGACGACACGTCGCCGCCGACCAAACATGCCACGAATCTACAGACCTACCTTTGGTGTCGAACTCCTGATGGCCCACGTTGCCGTTCTATCTTCTCCCGCAGCCAAAGCCTTCTTTAAGAATGCCAATATTCCACAACGATTCAGCAAGGTCATCAACTGCTTTCGTGCTGCAATGAACCCAGATGAATTGAGATCAGACATGTCAGATGATGCTAAGACAGCAAGGTACCCAATAATCTGGGATTCAGGTGCAACAACCTCAATCTCACCTTACAAGGACGACTTTGTGGGAAAACTTGAGCCAGCATCTCTTGGACTCAAGCTTCATGGAATCGCTAGTGGCCTGAAAATCAAAGGAATTGGACATGTTGCATGGTCAGTGGTTGACACAACTGGCATGTTACAAACAATCAAGGTGCCTGCCCTATACGTACCTTCTGCCACAGCTCGATTGCTCAGTACTTCAAGTTTGCTCCAGACATACACCGATGAGTCCATCTCAATGAACGCTGATCATCTACAGTTGTCAGGATCAGACAAAACAAATCCAGTACATGTTGACCATGACCCTTCAACAAACTTGCCAACATCGCTTGCCTACTCCCATGGAACCGCCCCTAACCAATTTGATGCATTCGCCAGCATCATCACGTCCACCTTGGAGTCAAACCACAACCTCAGTCCCGCAGAGAAAGAACTCCTAAGATGGCACCATCGGCTTGGCCATCTCAACTTCAGTCAGATCCAATTTCTCCTTGTTAGAATAAAGCAAAATGTGCTCTATCGTGAGTGCCTTTAGCGCTCAGAACAAACTCTCTGCAATCTAAATTCGTAATCGACTGTACAACACTTTCACGACAATAGTTCTCCTGTGTCTAGGTATACTTTGAGTGAAATTGTTCCTATTTGATTAATGTTTGGCTTGAATTGATGATTCAATCACAAAAGTAAGTTCAACGATTTTCCCTTGGAAAATCCCTTGTTTACAGAACTTGATTCGACCTCTACGACGATTCTGTGTTGGATACAGTACTTTGGGACATCTTGTATTATTCCCTACTGCATTGTACACAACATCGATATCTCACTTGTATAGGGTCATTCCCTTTTTGTGTGGATGTAGTTTGTCCGACAGACTTGCGTCCGGCATACTTGCGGCGAATCCCGACATCACGATCAAAGTCCGATCGTACGTGTCGAAAACTTCGTACTTGAATAGTTTCTTTTTTGGAACGTAAAAACTCATATTTTGTCATATCCCAACACTCCTCCGCACCGGTGTATTGGCACATTCAGAGTCCGCTCGACGATTGCAAGCTGCAGCATCTTGGATCACAACATACCCACTTTGCCCAGCTTGCCAATTTGGAAAACAACGTAGTTGACCTTCTCCCAGAAAGACTTCTCGAGTCGTTCGTGATCAAGAGGGAGTTTTGAAGAAAGAAATCCTGTTCCCAGGACAAAAGGTGTCAGTTGATCATTTCAAGTGTACCACAAGAGGACGATTGCTTCATACCTTTGGCAAAGAAGATCCCAAGACACAGTACACCGGAGGATGCATCTTCGTTGACCACGCAACAGGTTACGTCTTCGTCAAGCACCAAGTTCATCTGAACACCCAAGAGACACTGAGTGCAAAGATATCTGTGGAAGAACAACTTCGAGATTTTGGAGTAGTTGTACTCAAATATCTAAGTGACAATGGAAGGCCCTTCACATCGCAAGAATACAATGATCACTTACTCAAGTTCTCACAAATTCACTCATTTGCTGGCGTTGGAGCTCATCATCACAATGGAATTGCTGAACAATCAATCCAAACCATCATGTCCATTGCTCAAACAATGATGATGCATCAAGCCATCCATTGGCCTGATGTCGCAACCACCACCACTTTCTGGACCCTTGCAGTGGATCATGCCGTCTTCCTCTACAACCACATGCCCAACCAATCATCTGGTCTCTCACCACACAATCTGCTTACCAAAACCCGTTGGAAACAATCACAACTTGCCGATATTCAAGTTTGGGGATGCCCAGTGTATGTCTTGGACAAACAGATGCAAGATGGAAAGAAACTTCCTCGGTGGAAGCCTTAATCCACCCGCCAGATCTACATTGGAATGAGCAAGAAACATGCATTGTCAGTTCCACTTTGTTTGAATCCCAACACAGGAGCCATCACCACGCAATTTCATATTGTATTTGATCCTACCTTCTCGACCGTGGCAACAAATGTTGACGACCTACCTGATTTTGGTTCGGAAGCCTGGTCCAAACTCTTTGGAGACTCCGTCTACCAATATGTTCTGGATGATCCCGAGGACCCATTGCATCCACCTGATCCCACCGACGATCCTCCTCCACCTTTAACTGCAAGAGTCCGAGAACAAACAGAAGTTCACAACCCGCCCACTCCATTGGACGTTGTTCCGCCACCTACCAAGCCACAAGTCGATTCCTCTGGAGCCACCATACCTTCGATCCAGAGGGAGACAGTCATCAAGAATCCGCCAGCTGTTCCTCCCGTTCAGTTGCCTCCTTCTCAGAGGGAGAATGTGACCCCTACTCCTACAAATCCGCCAAAGCCCTCATCTCCGCCACAGCCAACGCCTCCACCGGCTCGCAAACCGCAACCCACACCAACTTCCAAACCTGCACCCCAGCCATCAGCCACACGCACATCTCGCTGATCCAACAAAGCTCAACCTCCAAAACGCTTTGGATACAATGGACATGGAGGATACAGCGCACCTCTAAAATCGCAAAGTCCAGAAACCAACAACTTCTACACTTACTTTTCGGCTTACTTCAACTCTTTGAACATTGAAGTGGAACATTCTCACAACTGCAGCTTCGTTCCAAGCTCGTACAAGGCAAGAGCCACCAAGGACCCAGACGTTTTCACTTACAACAAAGTGGTCAACGGTCCCAACAGCGAAAAATGGACTGCAGCAGCAAAGAAAGAAATCGAAGCATTTGAAGGAAAGCTCACCTGGATTGAAGTCCCAATGTCAAAAGCGGAGACCAAGATCATTCCTGGAACTTGGGTCTTTCCTGTCAAGAGAAATCCAAGCGGAGAAATGACCAAATTCAAGGCAAGATACTGTGTGAGAGGAGACCTGGAAGAAATGGATGTTGACAAAAACACTTTTGCACCTACCGTTGCATGGAGTACTGTCCGTCTGTTTCTTGTCCTTTTCTTGATCCTTGGATGGGCCACCGTCTCGGTTGACTTCAGCAATGCATTTGTGCAATCCAAACTGGACAAACCAAAATGGGTACACTTACCTCAAGGATTTGTCTCTCCAAAGGGCAAAGGAACATGCCTTCAACTCAACAAGTCACTATATGGGACCAAAGCTGCTCCCGCGCGATGGAATAAGACCGCCGTGGAAGGATTCACCAAGTGTGGATTCAAACAATCCGATTTTGATCCATGTCTTCTATACAAGAAAGGCATGATGGTGGTTCTGTATGTCGATGATGCTGGAATCGGTGCCAAAGATCCAGCAGACATTGACAAGCTCATTGAGGAACTCAGAGAACTCCAATTTGAACTAAAGAAAGAAGGCAACTTCAATGAGTTTCTTGGCATAAAATTTGACACACGCAAAGATGGTTCAGTCGAACTTACCCAGACTGGTTTGATTGACAAAGTTTTGGAAGCAGCCGGAATGACCAACTGCAATCCCAATCGAATCCCTGCTACTGGTCCCCTTGGCAAAGATCCTGATGGTGAACCTATAAACGAAGAATGGAACTATCAATCAATCATCGGAATGTTAATGTACCTCTCGACAAACACACGACCAGACATTTCCTTTGCTGTCAGCCAAGTGGCACGATTCTCCTCTGAACCAAAGCAATCTCATGCAACCGCTGTGAAAACAATTCTTCGTTACCTGAAACGCACTCGCACAAAAGGCATGATCATCAAACCTACCGGAAAACTGAACCTTGATTTGTTTGTCGATGCCAACTTCTGCGGACTCTACAACACCGAACCTCACACTGATCCAAACTCCGTTCGATCACGCACCGGGTTTATTGTAAAGTTGAGCAATTGCCCGCTGATTTGGCGCTCCCAGCTTCAAACATCCATCACTTGCTCCACGCTCAAGGCCGAATACAACGCTCTCTCTTCTGCTCTAAAGACCTTAATTCCATTGAAGCGTCTTCTCATTGAAGCCACCAACCACGTTGAACTTGACAACGGCATCCGCGCCACCATTTGGGCCTCAGCATTTGAAGACAACCAAGGAGCATATTTTCTGGCCACCAATCAAGGAATCACATCTTGCACTCGCTGGTATCTCAACCAGTGGCACTGGTTCTGGCAACACGTCACCAAAGACGGTGTTGGCCCAGAAACTGTTGCCATCCACAAGCTGGACACATTGCTCCAAGATGCTGATTACTTCACAAAGGCACAGTCTTGTGAACCTTTTGAGAGAAGTGCAAGGGTGGTAACACCTTTGCACCACCACCCTTACCCTTGTACATTTGCATCGAGCAGAGAGATGTAGACAACTCCGGTTGTTGAACTCACCTGCTCACCAGTGAGATGCAACATCTTTCAGATCTATTTGTTTCGCAAATTTCAGTGATGGCGTTTTGTGTTGAATTCCGGATGAGAGGGAGAGTCGAAAGTTGTCTGTTTGTCCATCAGATGATAGCCGTTGCTGAACGTCTGCACCCCAACGGCTAACCTATCCAAAGTATCTTATACAGGTATCAAGATTACCAATCTTGGCTACTATCTTCCCTTGCTAAGCTTTGCACATTCTCAACGTTGTTAAGACTAAGCATCGCCATTGCATGCGTTGAGATGGTTGGGGTTTCATCCTGTTTGCATCCTTCACAACACAAAATCACTATAATTTTCAGAATACTGTTTTATCACACATCTTTCGGACATTTACAACTATTTCAGGACTTAAGCACGACAGCCTGGACAACCTTGTGCCTGCATTCTCAAGTAATCAAGGCTGTACACGCTACAGCTTTGAGTCGTACTGTAGATGGAAGAAAGCAGTCGAACCAATGGATTCAATATTGACACTATGAACGACGGTCAGGCGACCATCTCCGCAGTATTGCACCACATCACACAGCAACCAAGTCCGTCTCATCATATTGAACTTGTGTGCAAAGATAGAGTTATTTCTTTCTTTATTATTCAGTATTATCCTATTCTATTGTTTGCAAGAGTATTAGTGTTTCAGACATCTTTTACTGTGGATTGTTGTGAGCTTAGCCAGCACTTTCCCAAACTTTAATATGTCCCCGCCCTCTTTGTCAACAACAACTATTCTCAAGCACCATGCCAAGCCAAACATTCCTTTCCAAGTCTTTTGCTCCTTCAGGGCGCTATGACATCCGTGGGTCAATTGCAGATCTCCCATTTGACGGTAAACTCAATCATCATCTTGCCCTTGACAAAAAGTGTCCTACTTTAAAGAACCTCCAGGGCTCTTGCGGGTTTCCGGCACTGAACGTCATCCATGGACAACGCCTCTACCGAGTGACATGCCCGGAAGATTTTTGGTCCACCAAGGATAGGATGGTTGAGTTGGAAAAAGAGTTTGACGCTTGGAATGCGCCAGGCTTGACAAAGCATCAGCGTCTGATGCTTTGTGAAACCAAACCACCTGGCTTTGCTCTTGTTGTTTGCAACGGGGCGGACGACAAACCATGTCATTTGTGCTTCCTCTCCACTCCCGTCTTGACAAAATCAAATATGAATGAGCGGAGCGGCTTCAGCGCACCTGTGTTGGCTGACATCTTTGATGATGCAGTGCTCCAACATTTTGAATGTTTGAATCGAGTTGGAGAACCAAACCATGTGATGTTGGGTTCTTTCTGTGGCACTACCTTTGGTGTGCCACCGGATGAAGGGCGACCGGCCTTTACAGAAGCTTTGTTGCCCGTAATTATGTCTGATGGAAAGGCCATAGGTCAAAAACCGCTGAATGGAAATTCTTGGAAAATTCTGATTTTTCCACATATGTCCAAATGTCTAAATTGAATACGTGTGTAAGGTGAAGATGGTAACAGTCACTATCGTATTACGTTGTTGTTGTGAATTGTTGTCGGATTCCTTTCAATTGTGATGTGGATAATTGCATGTTTATCCAAACGGATTGTGAACGTGTTCGCATGTTGAACTTGTTCCTCGCCAATATATACATTACTTATTGGCCGTGCATGATAGAGAACAAGCTGAACATCTGCTTGTGTTTCTGACTCATCATGTGACATCTACGACATGCCTGACATCAAAACACTCCTCTCAAGTTGTTTGCATTACCTTGAATGTGGACGACTTGCATTGCTTAATCCATTTTGGATATCAACAAATGGCGGGGTAGAGCAGGTGTTAGTCAGCCACTGACATGTAACAATTGATAGTACCATCTCTTCTGGTAGGTTTGATATGGGGCATTCTACTCCTCGTCCAGCATAAAAAGAAAAATGGGGGGTCTTCCATTGATCAATTCACTCAAGAATGCAAAATGTCACAGTGCCGCTCAGTCTTTGACATTGACTTTCATGTTGGCTCTCAGTCTTTGACATTGACTCTCAGCCTTTGGTGCTTTTGGGGGCAACACTTCTTTGCCTTCCAAGTGACCAAACTCGCTTGTTGACCAATCCTTTCTGGCAAAAGCAGCTTTGTCAATCTCAGGATAACTAGGGTCAAACACCAACTCAGCA